AAATCAGTTTTTGACTGTTGCTATGGCAGCAGTGAGCGAGAATTTGTTTTCAGATTTTACAACCTAACTAGAGTGAGGGTGTGACTTGCCCGCCAAGTTTGAACCAAACGGCCCAGCCAAAAAAATCACAGAAGAGTCAAATTTGTTGGTAATGAAAACAAATATCAAAAATTCAAATAGTAACTTAGTGCCCACACTCAAGCTGAGTAGAATGAGCTATGTCTGAAGAGTTTTATCCTAAATTTGTAGGAGGAGATTCATTTATCCAGTTTTTTGGCTGTTACTATGGCAACGATAGGCCATTTTTTTTCTAATAACTAATAACTAGGGTGATGGTGTCAGGTGTGACCTGCCTGTCAAGTTTGAGGGAAATAGGCCAAGCCAAAACAATCATAGAAGAATTAATACGTGAAAACACCGAAAACCACACACTCAGAAACACAAAATTGATTTTAAGGGCAATCCTAGCAGAACGGATCGTCAATAGTGAACAAAAATGTTCGTAAATATTACTGACCACAAAAGACGCTCATCGCGAAGTGTCTTGTATATAAAGTAATATATCGTACTATTACTAAACCTGAGATTAAATTAAGGTCTAACAATATGTTTTACTGTATTGCCAAAAATTTAAGTTAAAAATACAAGACATATTTGAATAAGCTAGGCTTTAAGGAACGGAAATGTCATGCAAAATTTAGAATTAGCAACTACAATCTTGAAATAGAAAAAAGGCAGACACACATAACCAAAAACTCCAGTAACACAGAATATGCCAAAGATGTAATGAAAATTTAAATTGAAGATGAGGAACACTTTCTATTAACTTGTCAGAAATATGATACTAAAAAAAGATTCTTTAATAAAAAAAATTCTATCAAAGATGAAAGACAGTAAAGATCTATTCACATATTTACTTTCAACTAGAGGTACAAACATTATTATTATTAATAAAAACGGCAAATATAAATACTAAAAGGTCAGGTAAATGGAAAGTTTTTGCCATTTCTTGCATTCTTTTCTGAATTTTCACATTTATTAATACTCAAACAAATCCAGAGCCCAGCCCTCCCTTTTAAGTTTGAGTCATGACCGCTAAAATGATGGGCTGTAATAATTATAATAACTATTTTTAGTAACAGCTTAGTGTTATTTTTTCAATTCCTGTGACTTGAAGTGACTTACAAAAATGTCTGTATTACCCCATAGTGATTATTTATGGAGATACTAAACAATTGATGAATGAACAAACATAGTAAATTAAAAAAAAAAAACACTACAGCCCACATCTTATCCTTTTTGTTTTTCTATTATGTATTCATTTCTTTTGCAAAATTACCAGTAAAATAAATTATAACTAAAAAAAAAATAAAAAAATATTATCCTCTCTGTGAAAACGACACATGAATGCATACCAATTTAGTTGATGATTTGTTATGGCTTCGCTTTTGTGAAAATTTATACAAATTATGGTATAATAAAATTTAAATAATTCATTTTTCAATACATGTATATGAACACTAAATTATTAGTGTCCAGACTGTCTGTGTATACACTGTATAATTGGAGAATAATTTACAAACCATTACATTCTTGTGATGTGTTGTATCTGTTTGTTATAAAGCCACCCTATGCCCGATATTTACATACTGGTTTAATGCTTCTCAGTCAGAAATTGTTCATATTATACTGTTCGTTTTTCCAGACATACAAATCCATATTTAATGGCCTGAGCGCACTCCTGCAAAGGCTATAATACATGAACATATGCTGCAAACTGCTTGTGCCATGAGAATTTAGTACCATAAATATTCATGATTTGAATGCATAGAATATAATATTAGTTCAAAAACACTTCCAGGTACATTTGTAGCTATATTCTTTATTTTTGCATATAATTTTATGATTTCAAATATTCTAATTACTAAATTGTTTCATTCTGTTATTTGTTGTTTGCCTTTATGTGTTACGGTAATATAACTTATTAATGGGGCAGGCATTGCAGATATAATGTTATAAGTACAAAATACAGTAAATTATAGCACTGACTGTATATATTGTATAGTAGAACAGGACTTTGATAGTTTATTGACATGCCAGGGTTATAGAATAGCCCACCACCAGCACTCCTGTAAACACTTATATATGTAAACCAAAAATTGCATTTATTTATTACTTGGTCATTCATATGACTTACCGTACTAGATACATATCTGGCATTTACATAAGCACATAGTTACTCATGGAGGAAGTATGGTATTTTCATACATTATACACAATCAAAGCCAGTTATATTTGAAAGAAATGTTTCACCCATTTATGTTATTTTGACATGACACAAGTGCTGTTTTGCTTGAGTGAGGTTGGAACTTTTAGGAAAGGTGGATTAAATTAATACATGCATGATAGCAAGATATAGGAATAAAATGAGAATCTATTTTCTTTAAAATTGCTTTCCTATTGAATAGTGTTAATCTTGTATTGTATCTATTTTTTTTTTTATTATAGGTATAAAGGGAACTGAAATGGATGAGGGGACTTCATCCATGCCCAAAGCAGAAGAGAACATTGATTTGATTATTGAAACAGCAGAATTTGATGGAAGTGGTATGAGATATGATACTAGTATGTTCGGTCCTAAGACTCATCAATGTGAAGTATGTGGTTATGTGGCTAGTAATCATGGATGCCTTGTAATACATAGAAGAACCCATACTGGTGAAAAACCATTCAGGTGTGATCAGTGTGACTATGCATCAACGCGGAAAGGGAATTTAGTCAGACACAAAGAGATTCATACTGAGAATAAAGCAATGTGTGCTGTATGTCATATGATGTTGAAGTCTGTCAATTTGAAAAGACATTATAAAATAAGACACCCTGAGATTCCAATTCCTGATAATTTTGGTGACATGATTGTGTTTGATAATACCTCGCAAGGCATGGTATGGTCAAGTTCAAATGAAATCACAGATGGCAGTGATCATGGTAGTTTTGTTATTGAAGATGTCCGGACTGTCCAAAGTACCAATTATGCAGGAAATGAAAGTAATCATGTGGACCATTTCAATAAAGGACTATACAATCCCAGTATTGCTTCAGATTCAGAACGGTCCCTCGTTTTAAATATCAACAATGGAGTTATTACTAGAGAAGCATATGAAGATATGCCATCACATCATGCACATATGCGAGAAACCAGTCATAATTACATTGAAAATGCAGCTACTGTTAGAAATATGGCTAATGTCCATAGTAGACCTTTATTATCTGAAAGATTCATGGGTAACCCTGAATGCAGCAAGTCTAGTTTTGCTGCAACAAGCAATCAAATAAATTGTACTGCAACTGCTATGACCAGAGAGTCAACACCACCATACAGTACAACGTTTGTGTGATTTACCGCAAGAATTTCATAATGGGTTGCTTTGTGAAACTGCCTTAGCTTTTCTCAAAGTTCATATGTCAAGTTGTAGCTGTTGTGGACAGAAAAAGAAGAAAGCACAAGTGGATAAAGAAAAAGGACATGAGGAGCAATCATCGTCGGCGAAGAGAGTGAAAGAGAAGCAGGTCAGGGTGACCCTCTTATGAAAGGCCAACATAACACAAAGAATGGGAAAGAACCAATGTTGAATCAAAATAACCAAACTAGTCAAGATTCAGATCCTTATTTCCTCAGACGCTGGGGAGTTACATCCAAGATTCATGAAAAACAACAAGGTAAACAAATCCGTACACAAAGCAGGGACCTAGAAGACCAAGTTTCAACATTTGAAACTAAACAGAGAACAAGTGGTAATAAAATGGAAGTCATTAATTCTGCTTCTAAACTTCATCACCAGAAAGACACCTCCACTACTGTTGACAACAGCTCAAATAAAATTATTGCTGCAAATAAGAGAATAGAACGTAATGTGTGTAAACACAGAAGTGAAAAAGAGAAAAATCAAAATGATGTTAAACATTTGACGGTGGACATTCGTAACAATGACAGTGACTTGAATGATGAGGATCTTGGTGATGCTGATGACAGTGATTCTGTTTTGGAAATTGATGTACAAAATGATGTTTCCAGTGAGAATGATGAAGAAGAAAGTGATGGAGATGACCACAATAAATATATGAAGTACCAGCTTTGGCCAGGACACCAATATTTTTATAAGTATAAATACAAATATAAATGTGTAAAATCAAGACAGTTCAAGTGCCCAAAATGTGATTTGATAACATTTAGTGCTGCTCATTTAAAATGCCACATGAGATCCCACCTACCAGTATGGCCTGGCAGTATCAGTGTTTCAAAGACCAGGGAACAGTCAATCAGTATCCCCAAAGGTGGAAAGTGGAAATGTAATCGCTGTGACTACACAACTAGCAAATGCACTAATGTTAACAGACATCACAACAAACATGCAAAAGAAGATGAAGGAAAGCAGAAAGCAAACAGAATATCTCAAAAGAAAAAAGCTTCTCAAGCAAAACAAACCCTGAAAAGAGCACATACCGGTAACACTGAACACCACAGTACAGGTAGTGAGTGTGGCACCAGTAAGCGACACAAATCTGCCATTCAAGTGAAACATGGTGGTAAAGCATGCAAACAGACCACCAGTAAACTTACTTACAACTGCAGTCAGTGTTCTGCTGTGTTTTACCATAAATCAGTGTTTGATAACCATCAACTGATTCACAGTGCTGAGAGATCATACAAGTGCAATCAGTGTGGAATTTCTTTTAAAAAGATTCAAGCCTTAAAGGCACACGCATGTAACTTGGTACCGAAGACACATCACATATACAGATGTCAAAAATGTGATTTCAAAACAATATATATTAGGAAGATTAGACGACATATTCAAAAAAAACATACCGGTACCCAGAATACTATTGCCAAGAAGTTGCATACGCTCGATAAAAAGGGTGAAGACAATTCTGACACATTTGCCTTTGAGACTTTGCCGATTGGAAGTAGGAGCGGTCAAGATGTATCTATATGTGCTGAGTCATTACAGGGTATGAGTAGCACTGATCAAGATCAGATACCTAATGAGGACAGAGAGAGCAATCCATTGCCAATCCATAGTACTGGCAAATGTTCACCGTTAATGTTGGAAATACAAAATCAACCTGAAGACATTGGGAATGATTAACTTGGTAAAAAAAAGTTCCAGTCTTCCATCCTTGATTTATATTTTAAGCTTATGTGATCAAATCCTTGCCAAATGTCTTTGTCAAAACTGGCATTAATTACATGCTAATTTTTCTTCAGTTGCCAAATGCAAATTAATATTAGAAATGACTGCAATGACTGTTCATCATCTGAAAACATGCCATCTACAGAAAAGTAATTTCTATTTGCGAAATGGCTAAATAATTTGTTGACAGTTGACCATGAAAACACAACATGGCTACAACTATTTCACACTTAGTTTAAGCTCTGGTGTTGATGTGGTCACTGTGAGGGTGTGAGGACGTGATCAAATAAACATTAAAAATATGAAGGTTTACCAATCAGTTACTGCATGAGGTATGCATGTCTAGTTGATTTATTCAATTCAGGGATTCAAAGACTATGCTATTATCTTTTCCTGTCAGCATTAGTTGTAAAAAGAACATTATTTTCTTTTAATTGTCACAACATCCTCTCAAGTCCATATAAATTAGTTTACCTTTATTATTGGCTTTTATGGATGAGAACTGCTTACAATATGGTACAAGTTACCTGTTTTTCTTTTGACACTGATTTAAAGTTTTTAATTTCTTGCCAAACGCATTCTTGCATTGTTGTAGTATTATTTTTTTTTTTACATTTTGAAGTACTGTTATTGCCCCAGTGTGCTCATAAATTAGCCAAAGAAGTTTTATTTTTAGAGTGTTATCATATTCCTGTACCTCAAAATTTTTTATTGGTGATCTTCTATGTTTACATAATATTTTGACCTCCATATAATCATATGATTGAACATGGTTCAGTTCACATTAATGTTTAATAACAAAGAGGTCAACATAATTGGCTTATAAGATTATGAAAACAAATTATTCGCTAATGACTTCATGGTTTTAATTATGTTTTTGATACAATATTTCCTTGTTTGGATTCCATTGTTTGGATTTTTAATTTGTAGCATAATTTTTGTGGTTACCTCTACCATGTAAAATTGTGCAGGTGCAAAGGAATTTTAACCTGACTTCCTAGTGTTTTCATCCCAATCATGTTGCCGCAATGTATTTTCATACATAGTTTTTAAAAACATTGATTTGAATATTAGTTTTTTTTTATAGTAATTATGACAATATGTGACATTGCAAACCATTAATTAACCATTTTAGAATATTTCACTTTTCTATATTTCAAGACCACTTTAATTGATTTCTATTACCCGGTAGAAGCACGAAATACAAAACTGAGACTAGTAATTTTAATTCCGTCTATCCATCCATCCATCTGTGCATATGTAGCCAATTTACAATCATTTATTGACCAATTTAAATCAAATGCAGCACTAAAACAGTACTTGGTCTTATTTGTGCACATCAATAGTTTTTTTCATGCACTTTTAGGTAAAATTTAATTAAAATCCTCATAATTGAAAATTTCTGCAACTGTCGTTTTCAATTTAACTGTCTGGGGAATTTTAACAATGCTGTTGTTTTGTATATATCATTGAGAGGTGAGAAGATGTTTATTGTCGCTTACAATGTCATTTCAGGGGATTAGAACATTGTGAATAATGAATAACCAAATTTCATATCCTGTTCATATCATGGCAGTGAGGTGGGGCTTGTGAAATATCAACCCATTGCAGAGAGGCGGTTAAATTTGCATACAGTCTCTTGTTTATTTTTTGGTGTTTTTTTCAATAAAATAAAATATGATAAGAATGTGTAAATGGCGAAACCTGTGTTAGCGCGAAAGCCGGGTTACCGTGAAATAAACGAGGGACACTCTCTTGTGACGCCTTCTACCGACATCTGTGATGATTGTCACCGGTCTGGGTTCAGTGCAAGATGCAATGATTGACAGGCTCATTAACATTCAACCAATCAGCATTAACTCGTCAAAATAAGAACTAGATTTGTCTCGATAGGAACCATGCTGGAACTGAAATTTTGCATGCTTGCATTTCACATTATTGTTTGAGAGTTGTTATTATGGCATGGCATGGCAAGACAGTGTCGAAGTTTCACTGAAAATACTAGGTTATACATCAATTTGAGAATACCAACGAGAGATTGTTGATGCATACACTTCTGGTCGCTATGTTTGTGTGAGTGTTTGTCTATCAAATCACCGACTGCCTGAAGTCAATTTCCTGACACATGCATTTTCAGGCCAGCTTTGAACAGTCTTCTGCAGTTACCAGATTTTTGTATTTTTGACCCGCATACAAAGCAAATGCATTTCTGAGTTCTCTGTGACAGTTGTGAACCTTGTTTTTTGTCTATGTGCTAGCGATGTATTGAATTTACAAGAATGGAAACATACTGGTATATGTAAGCATGCACTGCCTCACCATATCCTGTGACGTCATTGAAATGCTCATTTATAATAGCAAGGGTATCAAGTCTCTTGTTTATTTCGTGGTAACTCTGCTTTCACCATTTATACACTCCCATATTTAATTTTATTAAAAAAAGATGCCAAATTATAAACAAGAGACTGTATGCTTGTCTAAGAGGTGGTGCTCTTCAAGTGTTAATCCCTGGCAGAGAGGTGGAGTTCATCAAGCGAGGCATGTCAAGTGTCAACCCATGGCAGGGAGGTGGAGCTTGTCAAGTGTCAACCCATGGCAGGGAGGTGGGACTGGTCAAGCATCTACCCATAGTAGAGGGGTGGAGCTTGTTAGGTATCAACCCATGGCAGAGAGGTGGAGCTTGTCAAGCATCAATCCATGGCAGTGGTGTGAGGCTTGTCAAGCGTCAGCCCATGGCAGGGAGGTGGAGCTTGTCAAGTATCAACCCATGGCAGAAAGGTGGAGCTTGTCAAGTGTCAACCCATGGCTGGGAGG